GTGGTGTATGTAACTTTGGGAAAATCTGATGTAGTTTCAGATGCAGTATTCACTTTGATATCTAAGGCGAGCAGGTAAATATGATCATGGTTGTTTTCTTTCCAGCTGTTCCACAGCAAAACCAGTTGCAAAATGCATCAGCTGCCATCCAACAACAGGTATTCATGCTTTTCTGTAATATATTTTACAGAATTTGGGCAATTTTAAACTAATTTTTTGAAGTCCTTTCCATATCTTCTGTGAAGGTGACACTTTCAGCAGACAGTCTGCAGCAGCTGCTTCTACAACAGCAGGTAAGATCATAAAAGTCTCTGCTTGTAGATTTATTAAAAATGTAAGAACCCATTTACCACCTGGTTTGTTCTTGACTTGTTTACTCTTCTCCTAAAGATGATGCAGTCTCAGTTGCTGGGTCTTGGGGGTGTTGTGGATGCAGGGCTCCTGCAGAGACTCAAAGAGAGAGAGCAGCCACCTGGAGATTATCAAGCGTTACAGGCTCGCATCATCCAGCTGGAGGGACAGGTACATTAACGCTGCTGTCATGATGAGAGTAATAACCTTCCCTGCTGTCCCAAATCCTCTTCCTACGTGACACCCATGTACCTGCACAGCCTGAACTGTCTGTGTGTTACTGTCCAGGTGAAGACCCTGCAGCTGGAGCGAGACCAAAGCCAAATGTTGCTAGAGTGTGTCCAGCAGAGGCATAAACAGGATATGGAACTAATGGAGAATGCACACAAGTAGTTTATTCGTCCACCACACACACATACACACACACACACACACACACACACACACACATATGTAGTGCCTGTGTACATGTTTAACATACATTATGCATAATTCCCTGCACTTCAAGCAGCTTATGTGTGTCCGTGTGCTGAACTCATACTGTAAGGATTTCTGTGCACATCCAGGACTAGAGTGAAGCTTCTCGAGGAATCGGCAGCCCAGAGGGAGACACAAACACGGCAGGAGTGTGAAGACCTAATGGATCGCCTGGCTGCAGTAACACGATCGGCTGAGCAGGAACGCTCGGAGCTGCAGGCACAGTACCAGCGCAAACTGGCCCAGGCCCAGCAAGAGAGAGACTGCGAAGTGGAAAGACTCAAGGACCTGCAGAGGTATTGAAACTCAAAGCTTTGGAAATGCCTGTCCTGACTTGGGACTTGAATGGAAAGACCTGAGACTTATTTGTGACTTGCAAAACAATAACTTGGTCCCACCTCTGACAAGTAATGTATTAGCGAGGTGGTGGGGAGGGGGTCTGGGCCTCCAGCCCCAAATGTTCTCCCTAAATCTATGCTATTCTCTACAGAAATCTAAGCTAGTTAAGTAAATGTTCTTTTGTTGGCCAAATATTTTATTCAGAGTGCTGAATACCGTATGTACTTTGCACTGTTACCAAGATTTGTAACTTAAAAATAGTAACATCAGTCATTTTTTGACAGGAGTAAATGTAAGGAGTGAAAATTAGTCATCCTTAACATTTGCTGTGTCATGGTTTTAGAATGATGAAGACACTTTGATTCAAAATCAGATGAAGGCTCAAACAGGATGATTTTTTTTCTTGGCAACTCTCATGTTTTTCCTGAATGATGTGCAGATTTTTAGCCATTCTATTATGTCAAATATCTTGAGGAATAGTGCATATCGTTGTCGTGAAACTGGGAAAAATGTATCCCTGATAACTTCTTAAGTCCCAGACTGAGCATATTGATTCTTTTAATAATAAACTTTAAAGTTTACCACATATTTGTTGTATTTGTACCACTTTGCTGTCAAGGAAATCTATCTTGGAGATGAAGAAAGACCACGAGGATCATGTCCAGAGACTAAAGAAATTAAAGGAGGAGGAGATTGATGCAGTTACGAGTGCAACATCTCAGACCAGGTTAGATTTTTATCCAAGTACACCAGTTGCACTTGCAATTATACTTGTAATTATAATCCCGTGATGACTAGTAGTATGTTTGACCTGTGTTTTTGTGTGTAATACTAGTTTCAGTGCTGATATTTCTTTTATATACAGTATGTAGAAAGAGCAAACTGCAACTGGAGAATGTCTGGAATTATTGTTTTTTACTATATTTTATATCAAAACAGATTTCCTACATTTCAGAGATTTTTGTATTATCTACTAGCAGTTCTGTGTTTTTTTTTTTTGTCCAGATCTCTTAAAGTGGTGATTGAGCAGATGGAGCAGTTCTCCTCTCGGCTGGGTGATCTGTCTTCTCGGGTGGAGAGCACACACGAACACACGGCTCATGGCCTGGAGGAGGGGGCACGGCACAGGGACGAGCAGCTTCGAAGTACTTATACACACAAACACACATTTACATGCATGCACACGCTTTGCACAAATAGGTCAAGATACACATTGCCTAATAGCCTACTTTAGTTGGTATCACATTGCAAGTGGGTTAAGGTCATTCTCCTAATTCCCGTTTCAGTGGTGCAGGACTGTCTGGCCCAGCAGCAGAAGGCGATGGCGGAGGAGAGAGCGTACCTCAAGGAAGTCATTTCCAGGATGGACACTCAGCTCAGTGAGCAGCAGAGACAGCTTGAGAAGGTCAGGGTAAAATCTGACTTTAAAAACAGACTATTTTTAGGACACCTGCATTTTCTTTGACATAGCAGGAGGCAAAAACACCTGCAGTGAAGACTGATGCTTTTCCCTTCAAAGACTGGAGATACATTTTTGTATGCCTCTGGAGCGCTGGAGGATGACAGCAGCACAGGCCAAGGCAGGGACTCCGAAGGACAAATAAATATACCTTTCTCTCTGTGTCTGTTGCAGGAACAAGGGGACCTAAAACTTCACAATGCAGAGCTGAAACAAAAGGAGATGGTTTTGGCACAAGAGAAAGAAACTCTGGACAGACTGAAAGAAGAAGTGAACAGAGAGAAAGAGAAAATAAGCAGCACAGCGTTGAGACTCAAGACACGAGCCCAGGAGGTGGAGGCCTTTAGCAAGGTAGGATCACACCACGCAGACCCCTACATGTAGTGCTGTAATAAGTCATGTCTGAGTTTTGACCATGCTGTGCTGTTTGCAGCTTGCTGCGGAGAAGTTTGAGGAAGGAGAACGAGCGCTGCAGGAGGCGAAACGTGTGGAGGCTGAGCACGAGGCAAGGCTCAGAAATATCCATACCCAGGCAGAGCGGCTGAGGCAGCAAGAGCAGCGAATCCTTCAGGTGACACCTCTCTGTACGATATTTAACAGATCAGGCTTCTATTTTACAAAAACAATATATGAACAGCACATAAAAGGTTAATGTGTGGTAAACACTTCTCATCACAGGAGCGAATGCGGTTAAATCATCTGCAGGAGGACACGGAGAGGCAGAGACAAGTCGCTCCAGTTACATCTTTAACACAAATGATTCCACCTGTTTTACCAGGTGAGATCAACGCTGGGTATTGGCCGTCGTTCAGCAAAAACTACTTGTCCAATATAAAGTGTTTAACATGGTTTTGTTATATTTATCTTTAGACGCAGGTTCAGTGTTGCCAAACCCAGAGCTGCAATCAACCCTGAATGTTCCTCCTCCAACGACAACTTCATGTGCCAACTCTAAGTCCATGGCTCTTCAAGCTAGTCTGGCTCTGTGGAGGTACACTTCAGAAAAGGTAACCAGTGGAGATACAAGTTATACTAAAGGTATAGGGAAGCGTCTCAGCAGACAGGGTCATAGGTGATGATTAAGAACGGTTACTTTAGTATACATCTATACATTGTTTTAAGAAAAAATATGCAAAGTCTTCCTTTTAAGTTACATCGTAACTACTAGCAACTTGAGATTTTTACTCTGGTTTCTCAGAGTGTTCCAAAAAGTAGTCACATTATCATAATGATTGGTGCATGACTTAGCATTAACGGTGGCAAACCTTCAAAAAGCTGTTTGATGAAAGATTGCAAGCATTGGAGATAGAAATGTACATAACTATATTGGTATACAAGCTATGTGTCAGACACGAGGCCTGAAAAAGACAAGTCAAGCAGCTGCAGCAGATGGTGGTGGGAAAACACAGCAAACACAGTCAGACAGTTTCCAGCAGCCTTCAAAGAATAAACACAAAGTCACAGAGCTATTTCTATCCTGTTGCATCCATCTGTAGGCTGTGATTTGCAAACTATGTTAGAACATTATCAACCATACAGTGTTTAATAGATGAAACCTTCATTGCATGAGATACAGCCTACAATCCAGCGTTAAGTATTAGATTTACACAAAATTAGGATTTTCTAAAAACATGGCGTCTGAGGTCAAAACTAAGAGCCAATCAGCTTTTTGTTTAGGTGACAGCTAGGCGGGGCGGCACGGTGGTGTGGTGGTTAGCACTGTTGCCTCACAGCAAGAGGGTTGCCGGTTCGATCCCGGGTGTGGGAGCCCTTCTGTGCGGAGTTTGCATGTTCTCCCCGTGTCAGCGTGGGTTCTCTCCGGGCACTCCGGCTTCCTCCCACAGTCCAAAGACATGCAGATTGGGGACTAGGTTAATTGATAACTCTAACTTGTCCGTAGGTGTGAATGTGAGCGTGAATGGTTGTTTGTCTCTATGTGTCAGCCCTGCGATAGTCTGGCGACCTGTCCAGGGTGTACCCTGCCTCTCGCCCGATGTCAGCTGGGATAGGCTCCAGCCCCCTCGCGACCCTCAGGAGGATGAAGCGGTTAGAAGATGAATGAATGACAGCTAGGCGTTTCTCAGCATACCCTGGGTCTTGCACAAATTTGAACAGCATACACTGTGTAGTGATCATCTTGAACACAATATAAGCACAGGACCATCATCATGAGTTGTCCAAAAGCTCTTTCAACAATTCTTTTACGACATGAAGAAATCTGAGGTCAACTCATTGATGTCCTAGTTGTACTTAACATTTTGCTGAGTCCTTAACACTTCAAAAAATAAAATCAAACTGCAATTTGATCAGCGTTAACTGCACCAGAGATGGATATTATTAAACATTAAGGACTTACAATTCAAAAGAACACAAGTTGGTTGTTACTGTAGGTTTTTAATGTCAAAATGGAATTGAAACAAGCTCATTACAACATGTGACTCATCCACAATAAACACATTTACTAAGCTACAGTGACAGCTTCCACCAGTCGATGGCAAAAAAAAAAAAAAAAAAAAAAAATCTAGAAACAGTTGTCTTTGAATGTTTCAAAGTTTGCGCTTCTGTTCCTAATTACTTTCTCTTCCTCCCCACAGGACCAGGAATTCCTCGCAGAGGAGCAGATCTTCTTGGAGAATTTGAAGAAGAAATCTTACAGATCCACCTTCAAAACAGATTGACCAACACATACTGGGTGCTCCCAGTAAGATTTAGGTTACTTTTCATGTGCAGAATATATTTAAAATGTGCCATTGTGCTTGAATTTTTATACCGTTCATAATTTTATTAAACATGTTTTAGATTAAACATGGCTTCATTTTTATACTGACAAATCTACTGCATTTAATATTCACTTCTGGATCTATCCCAAGCTGGTGTTGCATCCACTTCCATCGATTTCACCTGCAAGTTAGGGAAAAAGGGAGATTAACACTTTCAAACTCATGATATACTACTTTAGTTAGCCAAAGATGTGCCGTTTCTGTATCTGTAGTCAAGCCTCAGGTTACCATGACTCCACACTTTAGTTCAGACAGGGATAACATGTTTCATCACTGGCTAGACTTTATCATTAAGTCTTAAGGGCATTTACCTGTTCAACATTTCCCAGCACGCGTGTGTTGCCTTAGTCTTTTCTTTGTAGATTGTCAAGACCTGTAGGGAGAAATTCTGTAGTTAGATCATGTATACCAGTAAAATTCACACAACTTTCGTCAGCCAAACGTGTACTGTTTCTGTACCTGCAGTCAAGCCTCAGGTTACCATGACTCCACAATTAGTTCAGACAGGGATAACTTGTATCATCACTGGCTTGATTTTATCATCGAGAGCTAAGTCGTACAGTATTTACCTGTTCAGCTCTCATCAGCTCCCATGTGTCGTCATAGTCTTGCTTTGAAGATCAAAACCTGTAGAAAAAAATTATATACATTATGAAGTGTTCAGAGTGGGTGCACCACAGACAAAAGGTTCAACAGCATTTCTCAGAACAGCTAATACCATCGTCAGTTATCGCATCAGACGGCACTTCCTATGCAGCAGTTTTCATCACTGAATCTGTGGTAAAGTTGATCATGAGCAGTAAAGGGGTACAAACCTTTTCACCAGGCCTCCTCACGTTAGCAGACAGTGTGAAGTGGGACACGTGAACCTGTAATGAGACAGTTCATTAGTGATAGTTGAACAGCAACATGTGACTCACACACATAAGCCCGCTTCATGTCAAATGCCACTGATTTCCTCACTTATATTTTTAGACAGGGTGCAAAATCATGTTCACTGCATGACTTCAGAATTAAAAATTACACCACTATGTCAATCTTACCTTTCGTTTCGCTGAAAGGCTGCTTCTCTTGGCATGAAGATGAGCCTCATCCGCCGAAGCTGCACCTTAAGTCAAAATATATCGAATAAAATCAGACAGTAGATCTCAAATCGGACATTATGTTATGGGCTGCTGACCGAAGAAGGCCATGCTCCTCACCGCCCCTATAGTAGGCTAAATAACACTATGCAACGTTAAATTAATATTTTAGTTTATTTCCATGTTACTCTACACACGAGTAGATTTAATGCATGTTATCTGTTGCTCACAATCACCTACTTATAACCCTTTTGTAACTTTAGCCCATCATGCTCTTCTTGCACGTGTTAGCTTAACTTAAGGGTAGCTAACAACTAGCAGCACGCTAGCACATTTCATATGAAACCGCCTCCAGACTTGTAAATAGTTAAAGTCTCAATAACTACTCTTAAAATATTACCTGTTCACGGCGGCTCATCTGCAGTTAAGTCCATATGTAGACGTAAATTTAAAAAGACATGTGACAACGGCATGTTGAAGAGCAGGGGAGTTAGCTTACTACCACCCCGCCAGTGAAAGAGCTCAAGAACGGAAGTCTCGCGTGATGATGCTTTTATATGTTGTAAACGTCATATCCCACGTGATTACTGACCGGGTGTGGTAAAAGTTTAACTTGTATTTTTGCGAAAAAGAACAAGAAAGTACTATTAATAGACTCAAAAATAACATTAAACATTTCATTTCGATTTTAATTAGATTTATTAAAAAATAGCGACAAATATATACGAAGTAAAATAGTGTAAAAACGGTGAGTATCATCCCAAAAATACATGAACTGGACTGATAAGTTTCAACCATGGACATTTTTTGTCTCGTTACAGTGACGGTAAAACTATGTACAGTGTGTTAATTATTTGTTTAGCGTGAGTCTCAGTATTCAACAAACTATAAGTCATAAAGATGCAATTAAACCTCTAGAGCAGGGGTGTCAAACTCATTTTAGTAAAACCAGCAACCAGTGCATAATATCCTATAATAACAAACACCTCCAAATGTTTTCCCTTTTTTCTTTTGTTTAAAGAAGTAGCCTACATTTTGAAAATGTTCATCCATTATAGGCCTATAACAAACAGTCTGTGCTGTCTTCAGAGGAATAAATGCAATTTCAACAATATTGCTCAGTTTTTCCACATTCAGTGAGTCCACTGTCATTAGATGTGCATTTTTCTTTGCATTTCCACTCCTGTGTAGTAGTCCTGACATTACCACACCAAACTAAAGTGAAAGAAAAGTGTAGTCTGGTCAGGGTGGAAAAGCCTCTGAAGCAGTACTTTACATAAAGTATCTGCTCGCTGTTTAACTTGCTCCTGAAACCTGGCACCTCTTAGCCTTCACAAGTGCATCACTAATACATGTGCAAAGTCATCCAGTGGGCCAGACTGGACCCTTTGGCGAGCTTGGTTTGGCCCCTGGGCTGTATGGTTGACATCCCTGCTCTAGAAGGACTGACCAATATATTATCAGTATGAAAAAAGCCTGTGTGGAATACATCACACAATAACACAATATGTGCAGTCTGATCACAACTTTTTTTTTACTTCATCTTAGTCTCAACTAATGCGAAGCATCGCAAATATGATGTCAGATGTGTGTATCAAAAAGCAAAATAGCTCCCATGGCTAATACATAAATTAATGGGGTTAATTTAGACTGCAGGTTTTTGTCAATTAGCTGAAGTTAACATGAAAGAGAGATGCGCAAAGTCCACCAGCCTCCAAACAGATTCACAAGGATATGCCTGAGGCTGATAATTGGGATCACATTCAACAAATGATTGGAATATCTCTTCCAGAGGACATTTAGGGGGCAGAGACTGCCAGTGTATCTAAATATTTAATAGAGGAATTAGGCTATGTGATGAGGGAACTGATAGAGATTTGCAGTTTGGGCAAAAATAAATAGAGTGGAAGTCATTTCTTTCACAAAGTCGACATGCCTTTTCAGTTTTACTGTTTGAAATAAGTTTAAACACTAAAGTAGTTGTAGATAAAAGATGATGTAGTTTTGCAAAACAGTCTAAACTCAAGGTCCACTTACAGGCTGTGTCCGGAGCTTTCAGAAACATCTGTCATCTTCATAGGCGAGTACCTGAAAAAGCCAGTGGGCTCCATGTGGTTAGTAAATGAGCTGAAAATTGGGCCCTATATTGTGTCCATAATGGCCCCATGCCAATCGCCATCACGGGTGGTTTTACCCAAGTGGGCCCCACATGGGTTATGCTACAGCTACCTGGGTACCAAATGGGTATGGGCCCAAAATGGGCATCTTATCCTGGGCCCACTTGGGTAAAACCACCCATATGGGCAGGTGGCATGGGGCCATTATAGACTCTGGACAATCCCATATAGGGTCACTTTTTCAGCCCATTTTCTACCTACATGGGCTCTTAGTTACAAATGTTGGCTGGGGAGTGTTGTTGGATGTTGTCAGAAATTAGATTCTCATAATGGTTATTTTTAAGTAGCTTCAATCCAGACAAGAAGGAGGAGGGTTTGTGGGAGTCAAGTCACATTTAGTTCAAATTTGAATTAACAAGTTAACTGTATGGACCTTTTTTGTGAATTGTTCTCTACATATTTATAAATAAGCCCGAGCAGATGCTTGAAATTGAGAAACTAGTTTGTCAGGCCAAGTTAAAGTGTTGTACATGATCTGGTTTCCTGTGTTTCCTCAGGTGCGCTCGGAGACAGACAGGAAAGCTGAGCTGCGCGCTCCTCCGGCTCCATCACTGCCATTCCCCTTTCAGTCACTAGGGAGAGACTCCGAACTAGGAAAGCTGCTGTTATCACACACTCAAAGGGTCCCACAGCAGGCTGATAGGGAGCACAGTCTGCACCGCACCGCCATCCGCACACCGGCCTCCGGGACGCGTCGCTCTCTCCGCCCGGGATGGAGAAAGACGCCTCTGAACCGGACCCATCCCGCCAGCGGAACGGGGTCGTGGGCGTGCTGTACGGGGAGTTCACCGACACGCTCAACGACAGGGTCCGGTACTCGGTGAGCTTGACGGAGAGCGCCCTGACCATCCAGAGGATCTCCTCATCACCCGGCCGGACTAAGGTGGTTTTTAACTTGACAGACTGTGTCGGCTGCCGGGCGCACAGAGGGCCGGACGGCGCGGACGTCGGTGCCTACTTTACAGCCTATTTCTACCCGTTCAAGAGGCGCTGGATGAGCGCCGGAGTGGCCCGGCAGAGAGTGGAGCAGTGCTTTCGGGTCGCGCTGGTCCAGGACCCGCTCGCCAACCTCCAGGAGGCTGAGAGGTGGGCTCGTGCCATCAGAGATGCCTCGGTGCTGCAGGCGCCCCGGAGAGACGGTGAGCACTGAGGGGAACATGGGTCACAGCGGGTTTGCAGCTTGAAAAATTAACTTCATATTACAAAAACACAGGCCAGGAGAAGGCTAGCAAATACTATTTTTATATGAAGATGAGAAAACCATCAAGTGTAAGCTCAGTCACATGGTGCATGCCAGGATATTCTCATGACCATCACTGTGATTTCACTTTTCTTTAATGTGACAAAAGTGAGCATTTTAAGGGAGTAAATGAAATCAGGTTACCTGACTCAGAAAGCCCCACATGAAACCTCAAGCACAGCACACATTTCTATTTCCAGAAACAGGTTTGTCAGAGAGGATGCACACATTCCCTCAGCTCTCACTAACCTGCTCTACCTGCCCTGAAAGGTGATCCACCTGCCAGCAGCAATTACAGCTGCCTCATTCATTCATACAGCCCATCAGAGGCATGATGGTTCTGGATGTGGAGCCTGTTGTGAACTTACACACACACACACCCATATACACAGTCCCACACTCACACTCACAAAACTGATCACTTAAGTAGTTAGATTTTCTACTGATCCTCTGTCTGCAGAGAATGTAGCCGCTGCTCAGGCTTCATTATTCCCGCTCAGTAAATTCCCACTGAGAGTTTATTGTTGACGGGTGGAAGAATCACATCAAAACAAAGCCTGTTTTTCATCCCCAGCTTTTGCAGGCAGCTACGTCTAATTAGGTCTCGTCATGTCTCGCTCTGTTTAAAATGCAGCCTGTCCTCAGGTTCCTTTGTCTTCCAATCTCATTAGCTTCCCTTTGCTCCATCCGCGTACACAATGAGACAGTCATTAACATGAATACTATATGAGAAGTGTTTATGCAGCTAATTACACCCATCACTCATTTAGGAGGATGTGGTGATACTTGCTGATGATGAGACAAAGCTGTTTCAGTCCCAAAATGGTCCATCATCTGGGAACGGGTGCAGAATCCGGCATGTCAGGTCAGCTAATATCCTCTTCCTCATATAGAAATATTTAACAGTTTAAAATATAAAGCAGTCATGTGCTCCCGGGCAGTTCAAAGAGGAAGCGGATATTTGATTTGACAGTGACTAATTTGGAATGTTGGTTGCCAAAGATGGAGGCAAGTGTTGGTATAGTGGGATAAGGAATGAGGTGTGCCCTCCTGGTCACAGCCTCCAGGTGTACACAGCAAACACAGAGAGGTCGATGATTAAAGAGAGAGACTGTGCTTCTGTGTGATGAAGAACATCACCTCCCTCTGGTCTGCAGCCAGCATGGAGTTTGGGTTTCAGCCCTGGATGCCAGGCAGGCAGGCAGATGGTAACCTGAGAGGTAACTGCCCCTCCTGTCACCATCCTCTCACTGGACTCATCAAAGAGCTCCAGCTTGGGAGGTTTTCAAATCACACATACTAATGAACCAGCTCAGACATCTAATGGCTCTCTAACATGGTCTCTCATCCCAGATTTTTTTCTTTTTTTGCCTCTTTTGAACGCAGCGTCTCAGCAATGATGTGATCATATCATTAATTTATGAGCTTGTTTTAGCATTCCGGATCCAGGCCAGCCAATAATACAGTATTTAACAGAATATGATATGTGATTTAAATGAGTAATGTTGTGGTAATAGATGCAGCAGAATTGCTGCTTTGCTGCCTTGTCGGAGAGGGTGTGTGAAGGTCAGCGTGAGTCGCTAATCCCTTATAGTGTATTTAAGTTAATTGCGTGTCATCTCATCTGGTATTGCAGATGGAAAGGTTGGATTAAAAGTGCAATTGCGGCACAAGATTGGTATTTAGTCAGAGTGACGCACTTTCACTGAAGCAGATAAACACTTCATTGAACACGTGAAGGTGCAGTTTCCACTGAGGTTGTAACTCTACTCACTGACTCTAGTTTAGTTTGGGTGACGGCACCAATACTCTCAGAGGGTTCTTACTCTCGCTGCAGGTTCATTGGAATGAATGAGGCGTAAATAATGAAGTGCACACACTATGATACAGTCCTGCACATGCTAATGGTCTGCTACAGTATTTCCCCTGCTGAGTGGATTCACAGTGAGATTGCATGCAAAGGAGTGAGATGATGGTTACTTGCTTTGACTTTTTCCGAAACTACTAGCTGCTGCCTTCGTTGCCACTGGCTGTATCCTTTATATGCTGTTCAAACAGCTGGTAGGAGCTCGGTTACAGCTTTAACATTTAGACATTGTGGGTTTTACATTCTTCTGATTACATTCGTGCTACAGAGTTATGATGGTAGTCTTGATTGTTCCCAAACTTCTGTGTCTGACCCCTGTGCACCCTTAAAGGAGCAGTGTGTAGGATTTTGTAGCATCTAAAGGTGAATATTGCAGGCTGCAACCAGCTGAAACTCTGGGTTAGGATTCCCTTAGGGTTAACTGTTCAGGTGAATTATCTGCAGAGGTCTCTTCCTCTCCAAAACAAACAGACCAGGTGATGGACGCCTTGTTTCCACATAGCTCTGTGTGAGTCAACTGGAAGTCCATGTTGCTATGAGAACCTCCATGATCTCTGATGTGTTCGTGAAACTCCACCTTCCATTTTTTTACGGTCCAGTTTGTGGCAAATTTCGGACAGACCGTATGCAATGTGCCACAGGGAACTAGCGTTTAAATGAACTAACTAAGAGACTGATGAATGTTATACAGCTCGACTAAAACGTTTGATGGCATGCTAAGGTTGCGAACACTGGTAGCATGCTAGCTGTGTAACATGCATAGTGGATCATACGTCTTTTAACAAAATATCTTATAAAACTGGCTACACACCTGACAGGCCAACATCAATACATATTCGTCACCATGCATTATTGGTCCCATTTTTGTCTCTGTACGGCTCCATGTGAATATTCCAAAAGATTGAACACTGAAAACACTCAAAAATAACTTTTCTGCCATTTCTGTGGTGGTGTTTTTATCCATCCTAAAAGAAATGCATTTCCTTGCGTTGAATATTAGTGGCATACACCATATACTATATGAAAATACGGGCATTAAGTGTGGAAATGAGTCGTCAAACTAATAAAAACACTGAATAAAGCACTTTCATTATGTCAAATCGATGTTTCTCTGATGCTTTTCGGCTTGTAGCAGATGGGCTACTAGCCCAGCACCTGCTAATGTGTGCTCATCTTTGTCTCTGATAATTTAAGATCCAGATGTTCAGCTGGTTTTTACTGAGAGCCGAATTATCCACAGAGGTCTCTTCCTTTCCAGAACACACAGGCCCGGTGATTTCAACCAGTAAAAACACTGACTAAAGCAGTTTCATATTAAAAATCTGTGTTTTTCCGATGCTATTCAGCTCATGCAAAAGAGCTGCTAACAACAGTGGCTGACGTTTGGTTTGCCTGTTGTGGGCTACTGTAGAAACATGGTAGTGGAACATGGCGGACTCTGTTGACAAGGACCCGCTCCCTATGTAGGTATAAACATCTTATTCCAAGGTAACAGATATACAATATTTTATACACTAAAGAAGACATACTTATTAAATTATATTCATTGCTGCCATTATATCCCCTTGAATCCTGCACACTGAACCTTTAAAATTTAGAATTCTTGCAAGCTACTCCAGTGCCAGTGCGAGCATGAACCTTGCACTGACTGTTTGGATATGGAGGAGAGAGCTGCGGTCTGTTCAGCTCCCACAAAAGTGACTGTTTTTCAGCAGCCGCAGGGTCAGGTGTGTGTCTGTCAGTGTGTGATCTCTCCTCCCGAGGGGCTCTGCTGAAGTCATCGTGGCCTCCTCAGTGAAGGAGACAAGGGCTAAAATGCGTCACCAGACGACCTCTCACCCCGACCAACATCTCAGTCCCTCAGGGCCCTTCGTCTCCTGCTCCGTGACACCCGGCTCTGATGGCCTGTCAACGCCACCCCCCTTCCCCAACCTGCCCCCCCGCCTGGTGATGCCTCAGTGGGCAGTTGTGTTTATGCCCTTTGGACTTCCTCCCCTCCTCTCCGGCAAACACTCACCCAACCTTGGAATGCAGCTTGTTTGCAGACACATCAGTCCAGTCTGGATATAGAGCTACTCCCAAACAAGACGTCTTTCACTGAATAGCCCAAATATTTGTTTCTGCTCCAAGAGTTTTCTTGAGTGGCGTCATGGTTAAACAAATCCCACCTGTGCTGCAGTTTGAGATACTGAAGGTACATTGCATTTTTTTATTTAATAATCAGCATTGTGAAACACTAGTGGCAATGAGATGACTCTTCTCTTCTATCAGCTCACTTGTCAGCGCTGTCATCCTGTCGCCTGGCTGCCTCTGTGTGTGTTTACCAACCTGTCCCTGTGAAATACACACACCGCAGTCGAAAGTTTGCTCGCCGGTGTGACGGGCAGGATCTGCCCGCAGGTATCTCACTTCACATCACAGACAGATTTCACATACACCCTCACACCCTGCATCTGTTTTCCTGTCACACACACACAGACGTACAGGCACAGCCCCGCAGGAGAGTCTGGGAGAAGACATTTTCAGAGGCAGAAATTTGGGGCAGCACATTGAAAAATAATGGACATTGAATCATGAATTTATCCACAGTGTATTGAGCTGCCTTGATATCGGCAGTCTTTTTGGTTGTAAAGTCAAAAACACTTCAAATTATTAAAACTGGTGGTTCCCAAACTTTTTTGGGGTGCTTGTGATCCCTTGTTCTCGTTAGTGGTTAGTGGCATTTGTCTACTGATAATGACCAAAGAGTGATTTTGTTTCTTTTTTTTAATTTTAAAGGCCCTGAGACTGATTTAAAATGTGGCCTTTACATACTGTTTGGCAGTGTATATTCAAAAGGAAACATATGACTTCATATTCAGTTTATAACCTGCATGTAAGATAGAGTAAAAACATGTCACTGAGGTTGAATCCAGGTCGTCTCCTGATAAAAATCCTGTGCACAATTAATAATCATTAATTATCTCTGGACAGACTTTATTTGCCTTTACTATATAAAGGAAATCAATTCATTATATACATTGTAAGAATAATGGTTGCATGGAAATTTAGTATTTACGCATAGACTAAATATTAAAAACATGTCTTAATCACTTCATGAAGGCTGGATTTATAGTCGAGCTGTTTTATTGTATCTAATAAACTGCCAAGTGATTGCACATAATCAGCATTTCATAATCATCCATCCCCTGACAGATAAATGAGTCAGAACATTTCCATTCAACCTTTGTGCACAGTGTTACTCCTCAGTTATCAGTTATATAGATAACTGTTGCTTGGATGAATGCATTCCAAATACACTCATCCTAATTTTTTAGCACCCCTGCAACCCCTAACAGGATAAGTGGTTACGGAGAATGAATGAATGAATGGTCAATTAATATGCTGATTATCTTCTCAGATTAATTGCTTGGTCTCTAAAATGTGAGGAAATAGCTGTCCAGAATCTAAAAATATCCAGTTTATTACCCCATAAGACAAAAAAAATCTTGAAAACTGACAATTAAACAATGAATTAATCATCAAAATAGTTGTCAATAATTTTTTCTGTCAATTTACAACTTAATTAATTGACTAGCGGTTGAAGCTCTACCTCCGTATGTGCATTTCTCGCCTCAAACGTTTTCAGAAACACACTTAAGTGCAGTGTTTGGCTGTAAAATGAGAAAGTTTGCTTTGGCTGGTGCTTGGTACTTTGGTCGACTGCGTTCAGCATGGCAGCTAGGCCACAAATATTCTCATTTTTTAAGCTAAACAGTGCAATAAATATGTTTCTGAAAACATTTGAGGTGAGAATTAGGCAATGCAGTAACAGAATCTTGATTCATATTTGATCAGCGCTGCCTAGTTTGACAGTTTGACCGCAGTGCCTGAGCAGTGATTGACATGTTTGACAGCCCCGCTGGAGAATCCTCGGCCAACTGCAGCGTTAATACATAGATTCACTTGCATGATAAGTGATTTTAGAGCAGCCTTCAGAATATAGCAGCATGGGTCCTAAGGTGCAGCATGATAATCACACTGAATTTCATTTTTTCTTCACTTCATTCATTCATTATTCTGTTTGAATCACTGAAATCATCAGAACTGTGTGCAGTGATTCATGCAGGCTACTGAAGGAGCTGGACAAGACATTCTGGACAAACCTTCCTCCACCTCCATCATTGCTTTCGGCATGATGAATTCCAGTGTCAGAGTTTCCAGAGGAGGATGCTGATCTGTATTTGTTTAGATCTGACCTTTTCGAGGGTTTGTGTGGGTTTATTAAGGGCACGCTATTCAGCTTGGCACACTTGAGTGCAAAGCCCAATTCTAAAGCTCTTTCATCGTCAAAAGGCAGTTTCTACTATATTCTGGAAGTGTAGAGAGGACCTTTGTGTCTGAGAGCGGCATTGTGCTCTGATACAGGTTAAAAAAACAATGGTAACCCTGTGTGGGTGAATGGAGGCAGAGTTTGGCATGTGCCTGTGTGTTTTTGCACTCTCACTCCTCTCCTCTCTTCCTGGCGGATTTACACCTCTTTCACTGAGATATTTTTGTACCTCCGCCGAGTCCTATCATCACGGGCCAAATGAGGGCGGCAGCGACCGCAGCAGTGCAGCACAGGTCACAGTACTGGAAATTGAGGCTCAGACAGCTCAAGCAAGGCAGACAGATGTTCCTGATTCACAACATGGCATTTAGCATCTTACTGTATCTGGAGCAGTGCTGATTCATTTACCTGATAAGAAATAGGTGGTGGAATTTAACCACCCATAACATTTTGTGCTGCTGGTAATTTTGTCTGCCTGATACCAAATCAGCATCACCAGCAGCCAAGTATGGTCGAAACTGATACAGAAGTTTCTGTCCTCCACACCCCAAAATGGATTGTACTTTATGTCCTCTCTGAATCATCTGATATGGTCCCCAGAGAGTCTGTGTCTGATTTAAAGGTCAAGGGCATCAGCTGAAAAATTCACCTTCACAGGATGCTTTTCTCCGAATTCACTTTAAAAAGCAGCAAAACCTTTCAGTGGCAGCCAGGACTACAATTAGATGGCTTTAATATTAGAATAGGAACTTTATGAGGTGAAAGAAACAGCTCCTTATTTATTAAGGCAAAAATCATGCAGGCCCAATAGTGATTAATGCAATTTTAGGGCTGTACCAAATAGTTTGAAGCTTTATTCATTAACGTAAAATTCAAATTCTAAATCAGCATTCAAATGCAATACATGTTTTCATCTAATGACTAAATTTGTTTCAATCTATATGTTGCTGCCATTAGTCAACTAGTCGCCCGCATGTTTATCATTATTAAATGATATATTTTGTGCGGGGCAACACAATGGTTTGAGTTGAAGGTGTGAGAAAGAATAGTATCAGTAACATTGTTAACACTGTGCTACATTACAGAGAAATACAAAACCGTACTAATGAACCTTCATTAATATAGGCCTATATTTTATCTACAAGTGCACGTCACACACTGAGCGAGCCGCCTGTTAATGACACTGTGGGCTAATGGGTATGTAGCTACTTCCATGTTTCAGATGATACGTCATGTTTGTAGTCGACCAATGAAGATGAGTTTTCATATCACCTTGGGTTCGTCCTTCACCTTCTCAAAATGATCCCACACTTTGGATTTCCTGCCCGACATGTTATTAACTAGCCTGTGGAATAACTGCAGGTACCAGCCCTGGAAATTAACCTGACTCCTGTCTGACTGCTGAGCGTGGTCACTTCCTGTGTCTGTCCTTTCAAATTAAATTCCCACATGGTCCAGTCACATAGCTAGGTTTTGATTATTCTGACAAGGTGCAGCTCCTAATAGAGTTTCACGTTTTGTTTTTTTATGGGGTTTGTTTCTGCGACTAAGTGACCAATGAAATCTTGCCGACTAATGACCTTTCTGGTTGACTAATGTGTGGTCGACTATAAGGGGGCAGCCCTAAAACACGGACCTTATTTCAGGCATCGAACCAAAAACCCATTGACTTCGAGACAAGGAAACTGAGAGTGTGAAAATGCTAACTCATTTCGGGGTTTTAAGACTCATTCCTAGGGCACTCTGTGTTTTTGCATGTTAATGTAGCTAGCCAGCTGTTTGTCATTTTGTTTGTTTTTTGTTTGTTTTTTTCTCAAAAATTAACCGGTTAGTTACCAGGTAATGGTTGTCAGGCTATTGAAAGCTCAATTAACCAAAACTGACATCCCTAATATTTTTCTAGGATTTAAAGTTTTTTTAGGGTTAGCTTTGGACTTCTGTCGTCATACAAAGTAACGACAGACATCAGAAGCTTCATTCAAAAACTTTAATAAAAGCTAAGAAATTAAAAAATAAAATGACATTCAGTACCGCCCTAGATAATTTGATCTTTAACACATTTCAGTAGAACTATTTAGCAGGTGTTATCCAACAAGTACTCAACCACTTGGGCTACAGCCACCCCCATATCATTTATACATTTTAAACTCATAGCTTTTTTTAATTTGCAGTTCTCCCCATTTCATTTAAAGCAATAGTTTGAGGTTTTGGGGAATACATATATTCACTTTCTTAGTGAGATGAGAAGAACGGCAGCATATAGCATCTAGTCATCTAAGATCGGCATTGAAAGGGGAAGCAGGGGAAACAGCTAGATTTAAGCTCACTTTAACACATAATATCTAATTTGTTAAATCCATACAAAAATAGTGTTAAAAAATGTCATGTTATGGTGGTTATGTGCTGAAATATTTTCTGGCCAGGACCAGTAACTTCCTGGAGTCGCCACTGTTTGCCTGGCAGCTGCTTCTGGATTAAACAAATGAGATAAAACATGTTAATTAGTGAGCTTTAGAGGTGCTGCTCCATGGATTTTGTTACCTTTTCCAGTCTTTATGCTATGCTAGGCTAAGGTAACTGGCAAAATGTCAAGCTATCCCACTCCCCTTTTTCTCTCTTAATAGCTTTCATTTGCTACTTATTTACACTGTAGTTAACTGACACGTAACTTTGTTGCTCTCCTTCAGTTTTCTGTCTTATTATTTAGAATATTATCTTCAGAAAGGGAGCTGGAACATCAGTTGTGCAAGGTGCTGATTCCCTGCCAACCCCTGGGTAATGAAGCGTATTCAGTCTTCCCTTGAGACACGTAAGCAACAGGAGGATTTCCTTGCGGGGATTAATAAAATGTCACAGAATTGCTATAAATAATCGCTATGAGAAGCACCTGTGAGCCCTCTCTCCTTGAAGAATGCAGCACGTCACATTAACATTAAGCATCGTCGATCTGAATGCTGTCACAGCCTCTGACTTCACCGTTTCATGCTCTTTTCTCTCCCCTCAGGGACGAGCCTGTCCTTATACATTCTTTTAAATATTTGATCATGCATAAGGAGACCTCCTCTCTTGTCTTCTTGCATCATCTCTATCCTTGCCTTCACTCACATCCACCTCTCTCTGTGTCTCCTGTCGCAGGTGTGGTGTACGCGGAGGTGCGTCGGCCCTGCAGAGTCATGATTCTGGTGAACCCTCACAGTGGGCGCGGCCAGGCTCTCCAGCTCTTCACCGGCCACGTACAGGGCATGCTCACTGAGGCTGCTGTTCCCTACACACTCGTCATCACAGGTCAGTTGTGCACATTCAGAGACAGTGGGATTCTTGTCAAGGTCACCCTGACATGAAATAGGGTTGAAGGGATTAAACCTTCAACCCCAGCATGGGACAATTACACTAAGAGCTCACACACACTAAACTTAGCGTAATCACAGTATCAACAAACTTTCAGCAGCAGTTTCCACTCTCTGCAGTTATGATACATTATTTGTGTAGTCCCAAATTCACAGGCCACATCTGTGGGCACTCGAGCACTGATACACATTCAATTCTCGTCTCAGCCGCCCCAGCTGCTCCACATTCTGTATGAGTTGCTGGTGGCTTTTTGTGACCTTAAACAGTGCCATGTGTTGGTTACTGTCATCAGACGCTCTGAACTTCAAGTGACCTCCCTCTGAATACCAAGGAGCTGCTGGGAAACAGGGAAAGGCTTTAATGCCAAAAGAAAAAAAAAATCATGCACAGTGCATCATTTAGCCTTTCACTCACATCCGCCCCTCCGCTCCAGCCCCAGCCCTGTTTGGCAGGATTTGACAGGTAAGAATTAGCAGTCTCTTCCAGCTTGGGCCTGGCAGTGCATCGGCTGAATATCTGATACAGCTCAAAGTGAGATTGAATATAACAGTGAAGACAGCAGAAAAGGAGGGTGAAACTGTGTTTGTGTGTGTTTGTTTATTTGAGAAAGAGCGCTGATGCGCATGCAGGCTCTTTGTGCCGACCCCTGGGACTTAAAGGAAGGTCAGCAGCTGGATGGTGATGAAAAAAGACAGAGTAATTACGACGTCGACCCGGGCCGAGCAGAACAGGGTGGAGTGGCGGGAGGGGGGAGGATGTGGGTCGCCGAGGGCCTTCAGTGGTCGGATAGGGTAGCTAGTCAGAAGCGACCGTGAGTGGATTAACAGGCACAACCCATATTCCCAGCACGCAGCTCCTTGATGAATGTATCACACAGCCTTTGCCCGAGGAAGGACACGAACCAATGGAGGCGCCTCTTGTGCCAGCGTGTACCTTTTACATACTGTATGAAGCATCCAGTGTACCGAGCTTTATCTTTACCCTGGTTAACCTCAGAAGAACGCGATGGAGTGTGACACGGGGAGGAAAATGCTGCATTTAAACAACTGGAATTAGGACAGGCACGATATTAGATCATTACACGATTATCATGGCCAGAAGAGTTCATGATAATGATAAAAAATATCTTAAATCTTAAAATACGAGTCTAGGGAGGTGGAGAAAGAGTACTTACAAAATCATACAAGAAGAGCAGTTTAATTTTGGCGTCACTGGCCAAAAATCCCATAATCAACGCTGAGCATATTGTAATGCGAGTGAACTGTGAGAAAACTAGACTTCTGCCCTCTTCTTGGCTCTGTTTTCAAGCTTTGCAAAATCTAGCCGCTGAAAGGAGACTTTCAAGACGTTCCTATTGGCTGTTCTGCAAATACAGATGTGCATGTTCCACCCTTCTGTGAAAACCTGATTCCATAGCGGAGAATCCTGCAGAGAGAGTTGCTATTCCAGCATTGGCAACAACTCCCTACACTGCAAAGCAACCCACAACTGGAAGACGGACTTATCAAAAAGAGAGTCTGACAATAAAGAAACTAAAACATGTGAATATCAGCGAAGTGTTTCAGAGATGGAGAGAAAATGTTGCTAATAATTTAGCTTTCTGCTAACTGGAGCCTTACTGTACGTTCACACCGTTCACGTGAATCACGTGAATCATTCGAACGTTCGATCGTGCTCTTCAATTTAAAGGAGCCGCAAAGTGGACTACTGGCTTGAAAGCAGCGTAGTTGCCGCTTGCTGTTGTCCAGTTAAAAAGCTCATAGTTGGACGACAGAAAGTTATGTTTGGTCAATGAAAACAGAAAACATACGAACGTTCAAACCAAGCAAGGAAGACTTGCAATTCTCTCCTCGATTACTAACATTACACACTGTAAAACTCACCAGACCAACCAACTACCTCTGCGACGCAGTTCCAAGCCTCATTATTTTTATTTTGGTCTCTGTAACCGAACAGCAACACATTATAAAGGACTGAGTGGGCGCGAACACAAGTAATAAAGTTCTCGATACCCATTGTCGGAGCAAGTGTGCCGTAGGAACCAAAGTTACATGGCTTGTTCTCTGGGACCCGCTTCATCGAAGCATGTCGGCATTCCGATTGGTTGTCGCCGAACTGCGTCAGAGCTCATTACCATAAAGTTAAACAAGTTTTAACTCCCCTCCAGAGCCACTCCAGTCGCTTTGGTTGCCCAAGACGCCCGGCAAACGGCCAGGTCGCCCAAGTCGCCGGGCACTCATTGAAAATGAATGACTTCCGCCGCTTTGGAAGCTCTGGTCGCTGCTGGTGTGAACGTACAGTTAGGCTCATGGCTGCTGCGTCATGTTCACGTTCATGTAGCTGACGTTAGCTAGAGCCTCGAATCAGAGTGTCCTCCACCCTACTCCCCGTCGCTTCAGACCACCTCACCGGGAGGAGAACGGGCAGCAGCTCTGAAGACGAACCCCCAGCTACAGGAGACTGGACAATCGCAACTGCCTGCAAGACTAGCTAACAGGTTAGACCCAGTTGTTGCCACTGCCATTTGTGCAGGCTGATTTCAAGCCATTTCAGCCACCGACCAAAAGTCCATCTCCTTGGCTGCTGTCAGCTCTCCTCCCGGGGAAAGCAGTCCACAGTGGCGGGGAGCGAGGCAGAGGGATGGTGGGGTGGCCAACATTAGCTTGCCAATTCTTGTCTCAGTCGTGGTGGTAAAAAGAGAGTGACTGGACAAGGAGGGGCTGAGCAAATGAGCTGTGTGCAACTCTACAATAAAGAAAAGAGATCAAATAAATCAATGTCTGTGAAATGCTGGACTAATGCTTGAAGTGACTGCATATGCCGCGTCGTCTGTTGGGTTTTTTTTTCCAGATTTCTGCCTACCCTGGCTTTAATGTGAAGTCAAAAGGAACCAGATGGCATCGGGGGAGGGAGAAAAAGAAATGGAAATGATTTAAGAGGTGCTGGATTGTTTTCATGATGCTATCATATGTGTATTATTCATTTTTAAATATCATATTCATCGTCTAAACTAGTATATCGCAACACCCCTAAATGGAATATACCTGAAATTTCAAGTGTGTATTTATTTGTTGTCTTGGTAGAGTGTAATTGTCAGCCAAAATTTGTGCAGCTCAAAGATGGATCAACAAATTAACGATAAACACGACAGCTGGGTTCAGATTTAGGTTGGTGTGTTTGTGTGTGTTTGGCTGTGACCCCGTGAATAAGGAAGTGGCTGGGAAGTAAAGCATCAGCTCCGAGCCCCGGCAGCTTTAAAGTGCTGAGTCAGCTGTGCAGCGCAGTTACTCTCTAACTGCCTCTGTCTGTCAACACAGCACTGCATCACAGCCTTCAGCCTCCACAGCACACGGCAAACAAACAGCAGCAACACGGGGCGCACCACTGGGAGAGGGAGGCCCGGGAGTGTGTTGTATGGGGGGGACAGGTAGAGGTTGAGCAAAGTGAAAGGGAGGTAGAGGGCAGTTGTTTTTATTCCAGTTCTGTCCTCGATCGATACTGGAGCTGGAGTGGAAAAATATTTCCTTCATGATGGCAGTGCATCAATACTTGCTAACTTCTTTGCCGTCTGCCTTCCTCTCTCTGTCTCTCTCCCTCTTCCACACATACACACACACACACACACACACCGCTCCACTGGGGAGTCTCGGCTGGTAGGACTGTAGACTTTAATGCTGGCAGGATGAGCCCATAGAGAGCCCCTGCAGAGGGACCCACTCAAGGACGCTGCCAATAAAACTAGGCTGAACAAATAGCTCAGTCCTCCGCCGGCGCATTAACCAATATGCACACACACATACACATACTGAGCACATGCGTCCATTGAATGCACTCGCACACACACACATGCAGATATTTGTCAGTCACAGATGTTTGCAGGCCGGCTAAGCTGCCTCGGAGCTGTTGAGTAGCCACTGGATGGGCTAATGTGATATGTTTTGCCTGATAAGGGGAAATTGAATCTCTTTTCTGCCTAATCTCCCTGATCCCACCCCAGAGGCTGGTGATGAAGGCAGCATGTCTCTTTTCTCTGCCCTTGCCCTTGTTTTTATTTTTCTCAGTTTGTCCTACACATCCTCTGTTTTGTCTTTTTTCTTTCTCTCTTGTCTGCATGTCCTTCCTTCAGAGCACCAGAACCACGCACGGGAGCTGGTGAAGAAGGCCGACCTGTCGCAGTGGGACGCCCTGGTTATCATGTCTGGAGACGGACTGCTGTATGAGGTGCTTAGAGTTTGACCCAGACTATTGTGATATGATAATCAAAACAGAAGATTAAAAGTGCCTAGATAAAAACAAATCAAATTGTGACATACAGTACACATTTTTATATGTATTTCCTTTGTAATTGTCATTTAAAGGTACGGTGTGTAAAATTTAGGAGCATTTAGTAGTAAGGGATGCAACATTGCAGCCAACTGAAACTTCTCCCATGTGCCAAGAGTGTAGGAGAGCTACAGTGGTCAACGTGAAAATGCGAAAACGTTAAAACATAAATGGCTCTATCTAGAGTCAGTGTTTGGTTTGTCTGTTTTGGTCTACTGCAGAAACAACATGGTGGACTCCGTGGAGGAGAGCCGTAGGTATAGGGTTGTAGGTATAAACAGCTCATTCTAAGGTAACAACAATACAAGTGTTTACGAAACAAATGTATGACAAAAAACTGGGTGTATGGTCATTTCCATGCAAAGCTTGGCATTTATCAATGTGGACGTGAGCGGAGGCTACGATCAGATCTCGCGTCAGGACTTAACTCGTGGATGCAAGTTTGAGTCAGTGTGGACTTGGGGTTGCAGCGCAGCAAGTAAGAACATATCACTTAAAAATGTAAAGCCTATGACAAAATATTACATTTTGTAAGGGCTCACATCGCTGCATGCTCTCTATCGCAGCTCAAGCCAAAGCCAATGCATGTTTACGTCATTTATCATTAAAACATTACTAAAAAGAAACAGATAAACCCTACAACAATGAAATCATTGAAATACTAGTGTCCTAGGTGATTACAGTTTTACAGTTGTCGGCTCGGACACAGGTGGTGTGTCTGTGTCTCCTCCACCACCCGTTATGCCCGAAAATAAAGCAGATCCAATACACGCGGCAACACACTCCTTGGTCTGGGTCAATGATAAGCTTTTATATGAGTATTGTAAGTACAATATCAATGTTATGTAATATATGGGCTAATGTTGTTAATATATCCATCCATCCATTTTCGTAACCACTTATCCTCTTTAGCGTCGCGGGTGGGCTGGAGCCTATCCCAGCTGACATTGGGCAAGAGGAAATGTACACCCTGGACAGGTCACCAGACTATCACAGGGCTGACACATAGAGACAGACAACCATTCACACTCACATTCACACCTACGGACAATTTAGAGTCACCAATTAACCTGCACGTCTTTGGACTGTGGGAGGAAGCAGGAGTACCCGGAGGAAACCCACACTGACACAGGGAGAACATGCAAACTCCACACAGAAGGGCTCCCCCACCTCTGGTTCAAACCAGGAACCCTCTTGCTTTGAGGTGACAATGCTAACCACTGCCCCCTGGAAGGATGTATACATTACATATTCCAGCCTCAAGTTTGACTGTCCACTGCAACGCTATGCTGCATATATAATACCTTTGATGCCACTTTTCAGGCTTCCAAATAGAACCAGTTGGTTAAATTGGACCTGGGGCATCAGTGTTTCTATTTATAGCTCAGAGAAGTTTCTCTTCTTGGCTGTTTTATGTCTCTCCATATTGTAAATTCAGGGGTTACATTTCCAAACAGAGATATTTCATTGATGATTGTCTTCAGCTGCCACATTTATCAAAGCCCGATCATTCCTACGCTGTAATTGGCAAGATCCGAATGTTTCATGAGTCGCGCAAACTTTATTGTTGATTATTTAAGCGCTCGGATCTGCACTGGTTTGTATGATCTTATTTTCAGGTGAGTATGATAACGTAGTTATGAATATAATATTCAGTTTCTGCTAATATATCCCCCTGAATCCTACACACTGGACCTTTATCATATGTTTTTATGGAGTGATTCATTGATTATATAGTCGAGTTATACATATAAAGGAAACATATATAACAATATGTATTGCATTTCAATTTATGTCTTTGTTTGACTTGTTTTTGAGCATTTCAAATCTTCCATTAAATCAACCAATCAAAGATGGAAGTAATACACCCTCTCTCACCCCTCTTTCTATTTTTAGCAGTTTTCAGAATAGGCCTGTAAAAATTTGATTTGTACAAAAAATCCCAGTGATTCTGGCACCTATGATCTCTGAAGTCATTGATTAATTTCAATCATCATTAAATTGCTTTGTAGATGCTTCAGTGATTTTAGTTGTTAAAAACGATGACAAACAATTTCTTTTTTTTTTTTTAAAAAAATACACAGGTCATTGTGTGGGTGCTTTTCTGCTCTGCGCTGTACTATATTATGGATGTATAAATCTAAAGCCAGAGTGGCTCCATGTTCCCTGGTGGTACCACTTGAACAGCAATCAAAGAAACACATTTTCTCATAACTATAAGTCACACACAAACGCTGCCTTCTATTTAGGACCGTGCTCTAATTCTGCTATTGTATTGTTCTTGTTTATTCAGGTGATAAATGGTCTGATGGAGCGGGAGGACTGGCAAGAGGCCATTCAGACCCCTCTGGGTATTCTACCAGGTGGCTCAGGCAACGCCCTGGCCGCCTCTGTCCACCACTACTCACAGTGAGTCAGTCCATTAATGAGTCATTTAAATGCATGGACCAACAGTACAGAATAAGAAGAACCTTCCTCAGCCTAAAAAAGAACGATTTATCTCCTTTCGGTGTAATTATGCCAAGGGCTGACTGTGCACATCATTTCTCAGGAGGGGGCAGAGACAGCCAAGCGGACTGGAACTGCTTGGCTGTGCGGCAGAGGTCATTTCAGGCTGCTGATAACTCACAGAGAAATGATGTGATGGGTTTAGAAACTTGCACATTATAAGCGCTTACAGTCCAGGGTGCAGATGTGGAAATAGTAGACCCAGAACATGTCCAGGGTGTCATCTCCATCTGCTGGTTGGCTGTGGGCACAACATCAGAGAAGAAAACGGGAATATATTTGTCCCCCGGGGGTTATTGCTTGTGCTCTCCTATGAGCTTCAAGTGTGATCAGGGCCGGAGCCAGGGTTTTTAGAATACTGTGATCGTGAGCCCAAGTGCCCCCTCTGTTGTTGTTTTCCTTTGCCAAGTAATTGTGACATTAAGACAGTCCCACCAGGATTTCACAGGTGTTTTGTGGAGATTGTTGTGGCCTAGAATGCCTGATTTCATGACAACTTTTCTAAAACAAAATTTCAATGCATGTTGCAATGTTTTTAGATGTTTTTTGCAATTAAAGTGCAGGAGGAGATTGCAAAAATGGTTGCAATCTTTTGGTGCAGTTATTTTAAAATTGAAGACAACTTGTTCCAATTACAATTAAGTTGGATTTATACTTCTGCATGGAATCAACACCATACATACGGGGTATGGGTCGTAGCCTGATGTGCACCTCCTAAGAAATGTAACTACATGTCGCATCTCCTGTCTATTTTTGTAAGCTGAAACCATTTCCCTCAGTGGAAACAAGGCTTTTATTTACTTTAATTTCACAGATAAGAAACAATAAACTGTGAAGATAATAAAACCTTCACAAAATAACTCTCTGCTAGTCACTTGGCTAATTTATACAATATAAAATGCCATAGGCTTGTGCTAACAACATTAGCATGTTACATTTGGTTGGAAAACGTGTTTAGTATAAGACAGTTGTTTTGTCAGTGAACCTTCTGAGTTGTAATGGAGCCAAAGTTTGTAATGTTACCTTTGTTAAATGTTGTTGTTGTCCCTGGCTTCACACGAGTAGAGGAAAAATCCGCTAGCCACTAGGCTAATTTATGCAATGTAAAATGCCATAGGCTTGTGCTAATAACATTAGCATGTTGTATTTGTGGGGAAAATGTGTCCAGATAAAGACAAGTGTTTGTCTGTGAATGCTGCAAGTTATAGTGAAGCTGATTTGTGTACTTGTGTTTGAAATTGTCTCTATTAAGACATGTTTAATGTGTGTTTAATGTGTGTTTTGAATCAACTAAACTTTACAGCACTTCACAGAAACATAACCGCTGACTAGTATTTTGGAGGTGTAACTGCAGAGTGACACAGATACACCACCGCACAAGTATAAATGCTCTCAACAGCGTCAGCCTGCGTATGCTTGGCAGTAATTTTAGTTGGTAAATGAGAGATGTTCATGTCGCACATCTGAGTCTTCACAATCAGAAACAAACAAGTGTTTATGTTGACGTTGTGCGAGGGACTGCTATGATGGGTGAAACTCACAGGAAACTGCACAGAATTCACTAGGACTGGTTGAATTTGCGTTAATTGTTGTGATTGCAACATCTGAAATCCTGGAGGGGTTTGCAAGAGTAACTGATAAGACTCTCAGGTGATGCTATGATTGCTTCTAACTCTTGACCTTCTTTCAGGTCGCCTCCAGCATGGAACGAGGAGCTACTATTGAGCTGTGGCTTCATGCTGTGCAAAGGTCTGGTTGTCTCCATGGACCTGGTGTCGATCCACTTGTCCTCTCACCAGCGCCTCTTCTCCTTCCTCTCTCTGGCCTGGGGCTTCGTGGCCGACGTCGACATCGAAAGCGAGAAGTACCGCCATGTTGGAGCAATCCGCTTCCTGATGGGCACCCTGGTGCGTTTGGCCTCCCTCAGAGTCTACCAGGGCCGGTTAGCGTATCTGCCTGTAAAGGAGACACCGAAACATCCAAAAGGGAGCATCAAGGCCAACCACCCTCCCTCCACACCTCAGCGCCCTTCGCTCTGCTCCTCCCTTCCCTGTCGCCTCCTCCCCAATTCTTCTCCAAACCAGAACTCTCGCCACAATCACAACAGCACAAACTCCAACCACAACACCATCACTAACTCCTCCAACAATGCTATCACCACCAAGAGACCTGAGACCCAGAGTGATGTCAAGACCAGAGCACCGGAGGACTCTCTGCTTCCTGGTTTGGACCAACCAGTCCCAGAGAGCTGGACGGTGGTCAAGGAGGAGGACTTTGTCTTGGTGCTGGCTATTTACCAGTCCCACCTGGCTGAGGACCTGTGGACAGTCCCTGGTGCAAATGCAGACGACGGTGTGATTCACCTGTTTTATGTGACAGCAGGAATCTCCCGTCCCGCCCTCCTGCGCCTTTTCCTCGCCATGGAGAAGGGCGGCCACTTGGCGTGCGGATGCCCCTACCTGGTGTATGAGAAGGTGAAGGCCCTGCGGCTGGAGCCTGTCTCTCCCCAAGGCATGATCACTGTGGACGGGGAGATGGTGGAGTACGGGCCTGTTCAGGCTCAAATCCACCCGGGACTGGCCAGACTCATTTGTGGATGAACCTGGATTATCTTAATCTTTTCTGGCTGTAGAGCTTTCTAGTTTGGCCTTTTATACTCAGTGTTGATTTCTTTCTGTATGCTGTGTTTTCAGAAGTGCCAAAGACGTTTTATCAGCCTCTGGAAATTCCTCTATTTTTCTACAGAAACAACTTGTCCTATTTTTATCGACCCCCCTCCCCGCGTCCCCTCTTTCTCTCAATGTTTGATTCAGGGTCAAAGCCATGGATGGTTGTTCTTGCTGCTGGCTGGTCCCAGCTTAGAGAAATGGATAGAGATTGTGTGTGTGTATGTGTGTGTGTGTTTGTGTGCATAAGCTAGCGAGATCTTTATGTATGTTTGTGTGCACTCGTGTGTGTATGTGTGAGACTGTGCGCGAGAAGCTCTGGCACATAGCGGTGCAGTGGCTGAGGAGTGCATTGTGCACTCTGCTGTCGGACCTCATAAGCATGACACACGTGAAGAGAAGCACATTTTCCTGTCCCGTCCTGGGAAGCTTGTGGAGAAACCACGCCCCTTGTCCCACTGTACTGCCCCCAGGCCGACAATCTCCCTCCTGGGCAACTGCTCTGACAGCATCGCCTCCCCCTCAGCCTGGTAAAGAGGAGCTTTCTTCCTGAGGAGATATAAATCCCCCGGGGATTTGATGTTGAAAAATCTTTAATCTTTGCATAGCTTATATAAACTCGAACAATACTAGATCCAGTCACACTAAGCAGTGAATTCAGCCCCCCCTTTCTCCTCTGTGTGTGTGAAAACTTCCTCCAGCTGATGATACACGAAGAGCTGGTGAAGTGGAGAGAAACCTGACCAGCTGGGGTTACACCTCCATCCACTTCCTGTCCTGTCCGCTCTCTCACCCTGCTTCATCTGCAACCATCATCAAACTGTAGAAACCGCCTCCACTCACACATAAACACACTTTCTTTTCCCCATCCCCCCTCCTCCTATGCACAGCTCCTCACATACACACTTGTACACACACATTCCCTTGCATCTCTGCAGCACTTAGCGAGGGGGAGGGGCATGGTCTGCTACTGTGCATATGATCCCCTCTCCTCTTGCCATCTTAAGATTGTACTCTCCCTCCCTCCTTCGGTTAATGAGCCATCAGCACCTAATGTGTCCTTAATATGAAGCTTTACATCTGCGAAGGCGTGCAAAAATGTTTAATCGTAAAGAAGCTTTTAAGTGAGTTTCAGCACTTAACGCTGATTAGACAGGCTGAAGCTCACTAAAGTGGAGAGGTTTCACACCAGGTCAGTCAGCGTTGCATATCGAGAGGCGTGCGATCAATGTGAGCTGGAGGGAGTCAAGTGCTCTGCTCCACCGTGTGGCCTTTTCCCTGGTTGTCAGTGCTGCGGTGATGAGCATTAGTGCACCAGAGCAGAGCAGAGTGCAAATGTTAGCATTATCATCAGTCCCCCCCACACACTCACACACACACACACACACCAGTTTATTTCAGGTCAGGACGACCGCACCAGAACTGTTACATCCACAGGTATGCAGCAACTGACTATCATCACTTAGGGAGTGAGCTGTCTTCTCTGACCTTAAAAACAAATCATATTCTTCAATTATGAAACAAAATCAGAATGTGAGACATTCCTGTGTGAACGCTGATGCATCTGCAAACAACACAATCACCTCTTATGCTGAAAGTGAAAGGTAGAATGTTGACAGGCTAATAGGGTTCAAAGAAATGCTGATTATAAGCTTTTTAATGTTTTGATGAATACATCACTGTCATCCTGAGTGCAATACAGTCAATGCAGTGAGCTGATAGCGCACATTGTTTTACTGCTGAGGTTTCTGGAGCTTGTGAAATGAGGACAGACGGTGTTTGGCTTTCATTGGACGAAGAGTAAATAAAATTTCTCACATTATGCAAACATAAGGAAGCTCTCTTTAGGGACTGTGTGAAAATTATTTGGGTGTGAAGGGAGGCTGAGGATTATGTTTCACTCTCTGACCAGCACAATAGTTATTTTGAACGCTCCCTGACTTTCTTTGCAGCCACAATTTATGCAACACATTAGGGTTGGATGATATGGCCAAAAAGTACTAAAATCTCGATTTTTTTCAAGCTTTGGGCCAACTCATGATTTTAATTTACAAAATGCAACAAGACCAAAACATGACTGAAATATCATGTTTTTAGGACTCCATGTACAAGATACAGTCATTGAGCATTAATAATTTAAAAAACCCTGCACTACCTGCGTTGTGCACATTGAAAAACATACAGGTTATCCCACATACTGTAGCTATGGACTAAGCAAGCGTCCACTTTAATTATCCTGCAGAGATAAAGCAGAAAAGTCTGCAGAGTCTCTTGACAAGACTTTAGCTTGATATCTGAAGACAGATGCAAGCTAGCGTCGGCTGCCCAGCAGGTAAAGACAGACTAAATAAAGCAGAATCCGCACACTTATTGTTCAGCTCCTTCAAAGGTGCTGTATACAACATTCAGCATTAATATAGCAGCAAACATCTATTTGTTATGTAATGATACAGTGAAGTAATGGTGCCCTGAGCAGAGAATGAAGTCACGCCACCTTTATTTGTGTTGTAATCCAAGCTTCTCTGCTGTGGAAGAAGGTCCAGCTGCACCTGCATGTGAGTGCATGTGAGTCCCTGTTCGTGTATCCCACCGGCTAGCTAATCACCACCGCTCTGTGCCGCGCTCATTCAGCAGTTACTGACACACGACACACGGTGATGCAGGCGTTGCGCCAGACCATCATGATGAATAGGGAGCTGAGCTGGAAGGCGAAGCATTCGATTTACTGGTCCATCTACATCCCAACCCTCACCAATGGTCATGAGCTCTGGGTAGTGACCGCAAGAATGAGATTGCGGATCCAAGTGGCCAAAATGAGTTTCCTCCATGGGGTGTCTGGGCTTAGCCTTAGAGATAGGGTAAGGAGCTCGGACATCCGGAGGGAGCTTGCTGCTTCTTCGTGTCGAAAGGGGTCTGTTGAGTTGGTTCGGGCACGTCCCACTGGTAGGAGGCCCCGGGGCAGACCCTAAAACACATTGGAGGGATAACATATCTCATCTGGCCTGGGAACGCCTTGGGAGCTGGAAAGCGTTGCTGGGGAGAGGGCCGTCTGGGGTGCTTTGCTTGGCCTGCTGCCCCCACGACCCGGTCCCGGATAAGCGGATGAAAATGGATGGATGGGTAGATGCACAGTGCCAAAATAATGTCACTGTGGTAGCACAACCACCCTCCAGTTCCCCACCATTAACTCTAACAGCACTGTTGCTGTTGTTAGCACTGTTGGCACTGTTAGCATCGTTAGCTGCTAGCCGCTGGCTCAGCCACCTCCATGCTGAGAGCCAAGTGCAGACAATCCTGGCTCAGACTCTGCGTCATACACATATGTTCTGAATGTTGCATACAGCTCATTTAAAAATATTTTTTTGTGCACTTTTCAAAAACTACTGAACTGAATTTATGCAATTTATACATTTCTCATTGATTAGTAATCTGTAAACTATAATATTTCAAAAGTAACCTTCCCATCCCTGTTAGCTACAAGTCAGTTGTGTTGAGGAAAATAAAGCCCAGACACGAATATAAGACTCTTTGCCTTCACATACGGCAAAATGCACCACCATGACTTGTGGCGTGCACAGCAGCCATTTTATTGATGCAACTATTTGACCCCCTCCAATAATTTTTGTACACTCCCTCAGTGAACCATGACATACTTGAAGTTGATCTCCTCCATTCTCCATCTTCACTGCAGTGCCGATTTTTTGCCTATAACTTGGTTTTACTGTCTGAAACATTTTCATATACTGTGTGTGATAGTCATAGCTACAGCATACTGTACCTTCTACCATTACTGTATCCTCATCAGTTACCCAGGTGCTTTGAATGCATTATCATGTTCTGCAGGCTGCACTCATGAACTCGCAGTTGCCTACGTGCAATGTTCATTATTAAATGTATAAAGTACATCCTCATAAGAGTAGAGATAAGCTATGCAAATCCCTTGTCATGGCTGCAGATATCTGGAGTGAGGGGGCCCTCTGCTGGACCGCACATATACACTCATTGAACAGTCCTGAAATATTATGTCATACTGTGCAAATCTCTTCAGACTGCCACCTCTTTCCTGCGTCTTATATTTACCACCATGAATGAATCAACATTAAGCTTCGATGCAGGAGACGTAACGTCAAACAAACCTCCATTAATTGAAGCAAACATCCATGTTATTGTAATTTACCATCAGAGAAATGTACTTGATGCTTAGAAACACGGCTGCAAATAAAAATGTGTTGACATGTTGGTGCAGGACTGTGTTACACTACTGTTAAATTATGGTACTATACTGTTAAATTGTTTATTCCACTGGCTGCTTTAATGTAACAGCAGTTTCTTTTTTTAAACACAGATGTTAATACTTGTCTTTGTCCATGCTGTTGTGGCATTTTAGAAATGATTTAAGGACGTTGTGTCACAGAGAATGAACCAAAATGAGACCCAATGATGTTTTTATGATCCTCAAAGAATCTGAATATGTTATACTTGTTATAGTCAGAATCTCTTGAGTTGCCGTTGTATCCACACACATGATTTACAGCTAGGCAATGACTGTGTATTCATTGCTTTGTTATTTGATGTGGTGATTTTGAGCTGGATTTTAGTGCAGTAGATCAGGGGATCCATGTGGTATGGCTGAATGTATTATTCTGTCCATGTTAGTTAAAAACAAAAAGTTAATCGTGTGCCACGTGTTCGCAGCTTTTCACTTTGAAGTAAGTGCAAATAGGGGAAAAAGTTTTTCCAGAGAGTGCCTTAGCCATTACCCCAGACAGCAGATAGGTGGTGCACAGAAATAAAATACAACAGACGGGAACAAATCTTTCTTTGAGTACTCTATCACATTAAATACTTATTACTTGGTATGCATCAGTGTTACAATACAAACACACACTGATTCTCTATTACAGGCAGTATTCTGTGTGACCTGTGAAGCTTTCTTGAGGAAGGGTTGACTGGGTTCTGAGTTGTAACATCCATATAAGGTTGTTATTGCATCTATTGAACTGGCTGTTGACAACCAGGTATTCATCATCTTTTATTTTCTCGTAATTATTTGTTTATAGACCTCTTTTTTAAAAGACCAATAAACATATTCATATAGAAAAATTGCCTCTTTTTTGTGTTGATTATTAATGATATATGATCCAAATATATGTGGAGTCATGTCTGAGCTTTTGATTCAAATATCTGGACAATAAAACAGTTGGAGGACAACAGCTTTACAGCTTATGGAAACAAAAAATATGAGGGTGCTACTACAATTCTTCAAAGGGAAAGTGCTTAAAGACTACGTAGATGGCTTTGTACTCTTATGGTGTGTATACTATACATTATTCTTACAGTGTGTAAATATCTAATAACCTAGAGATAGGGTAAGGAGGTCGGAGCAGAGCCGTTCCTTCACATGGAAAGGGGTCAGTTGAGGTGGTTCGGGCACCTGATCAGGATCGTCCTGTGCGCCTCCCATTAGAGGTGTTCAGGGCACGTCCTACTGGTAGGAGGCCCTGGGGCAGACCCAGAACATGCTGGAGGGAGTACATATCTCATCTGACCTGGGAACACCTTGGGGTCCTTTCAGGGGGAGCTGGGAAGCGTTGCTGAGGAGAGGGACATCTAGGGTGTTTTGCTTGGCCTGCTGCCCCTGTGACCCAGCCCTGGATAAGCAGATGAAAATGGATGGATGGATGGATGGATGGATGGATGGATGGATGGACCATACAAAAAGCAAAGACATTCAGTTCACAAGGATGTACAGAAGAGATAAGCAGAGAGCTGGAGAGTGTTGCTCGAGAGAGGGACGTCTGGGGTGCTTTGCTCGGCCTGCTGCCCCCACGACCCGGATGGATGGATGGATGGACCATACAAAAAGCAAAGACATTCAGTTCACAAGGATGTACAGAAGAGATAAGCAGAGAGCTGGAGAGTGTTGCTCGAGAGAGGGACGTCTGGGGTGCTTTGCTCGGCCTGCTGCCCCCACGACCCGGCCCTGCAAGCGGGTTAAAATGGATGGATGGATGGATGACTATACCTGAGCACTGCTACCTTAAAACCCAAACAGGTGTGAGCATGCACCTGTGGTGAAGCAGAGAGTGCATCTTGGATACAGATAGGTTTGATATCCGTAGTGCACCTCTTTGTCCACCAGAGGGAGACAGAGACTGTGTCTGAACTCCCAATTTATTGCTGTACAAAAATGTATATGCACTTCAGTATTTGCTTTTATTTTTCACAGGTTTACATTACAGATCTAAGACTTTTTAAATGCATTTAATCGATATGATTCTTTCAATTTTGGTTGCGACTTTGTTAAAAGCGGTTCAAGTGGGTGCCTCTCCAGGTGTGGCATATCAAGATGCTGATTGCACAGCATCATTACTACACAGGTGTGCTTTGGGATTGTCACTCCAGAATGTAAAGTGCTATCAAACAACACAATGCCACTGATGTTGCAAGTTTTGAGAGAGTGTACCATCATCATGCTGACTGCAGGAATGTCCACCAGAGATGTTGCCTGTGAACTTCATGTTTATTTCACTACCATAAGCCGTCTCCAATGTCATTTCCATGAATTTAGCAGTCCATCTAACCAGCCTCATAACTGCAGACTACGTGCAACCATACCAGCTCAGGACCTCCACATCCAGCGTCTTCACCTCCAAGATTGTCTGAGACCAGCCATCTGAACAGCCGATGTAATAATTGATTTGCTCAATTAAATCATTTCTGCACAAACTGTCTCAAGGAAGGTCGACTGAATGCTGGTCGTCCTCACCAGGATCTTGACCTGACAGCAGTTTGTCGTTTTAACCAACTTCAGTGGGGAACCGCTCGACTTCAGTGGTGTCTGGCAAGTTTTCTCTTCACAGTCCTAAGTGTTACATCATAAGCAAATGGACTTGTTTGCTTTTCATGAAGACGTTTCACCTCTCACCCATGAGGTTCCTTCAGTTCTGAACTGAAGAGCTTCAGAACTGAAGAAGCCTCTTGGATGAGAGGTGAAACGTCTCCAAGAAACTCAAGCAAGTCCATTTGCCTACAATATAACACTTACCATGACCTGGATGACTGAGAATCTTCTCTCTCCAACATGTTCTCTTCACAGATGAATCCTGGTTTACACTGTACCAGGCAGATGGTGCATGGTGTCATGTGGGTGAGTGGCTTGTTGATGCCAGCACTGTGAACAGAGTGCCCCATGATGGCAGAGGGGTTATGGTATGGGCTGGCATAAGCTACAGACACAGGTGCATTTTACTGCTGGCAGTTTGAATGTACAGAGATACTGTGGCCAGAACCTGGGACCCGTTGCCATGTTGTTCATCCACTGCCATAACCCCATGTTGTAGCACAGTAATGCACGGCCCCATGTTGCAAGGATCTGTGCATGAGTCCTAGAAGTTGAAAACATTCCAGGTCTTGCATGGCCTGGATACTCATCAGACATAACATCCATTGAGCATGTTTTGGATGCTCTGGAACAGCGTGTACAACAGTGTGTCCAGTAACTTCACACAGCCACTGTGAAGGAGATGTGTTGCATTGCATGAGGCAAATTGTGTCACACCAGATAGTGACTGATTCTTTGGGGTATGCGTGAACAAAAAATGTGACCCAAATTTTAGAGATTTTAGCTGACTTTTTGTGTGCACAAAAAAAGTCCTTAATTTATACCTGTGAAAAATGGGAGCAAAAACAAGAGTGTTTAAACATAGTTCACTTAAAAGTTCACAGTTTTTGAGG